TGCCACCATGCTTGACTAATTTTTTTTTTTTTTTGAGACAGGGGTCTCACTATGTTGCTAGGGTAGCCTTGAACTCTTGGGCTCAAGTGGTCCTCCTGCCTCAGCTGGGATTACAGGCGTGAGCCACCACACCAGGCTCTTGTATTTAATTTTCATTCATCTCAAATAATTTTATAATTTCTATTATTTTTTCATCCATTGGTAACACAGTGCATCATTTAATTCTTACATATTTGTGTTCTCCAAAATATTTATGTTTGTATTGTGGCCTGAGAAAATACTCTGTATGATTTTAATTCTTTTAAAATTTTTGAGACTTGTTTTATGGCCAAGTATATGGTCTATCCTGAAGAATGTTCCATATGCACTTAACAAGATGTCTAGTCTGCTATTGTTGTTAGAATGTTCTATTGGCATTCAATAATATTGTTCAAGTGTTCTGCATTCTTGCTAATTTTATGTCCAGGTTTTATCTATTATGAAGAGTGGAGTGGCCGGCGCAGTGGCTCACGCCTGCAATCCTAGCACTTTGGGAGGCTGAGGGGGGTGGATCACTTGAGTTAGAGACCAGCCTGGCCAACATGGTGAAACTCCATCTATTCAAAATACAAAAATTATTTGGGCTTGGCAGCATGCGCCTATAATCCCAGCTACTCTGGAGGCTGAGGCAGTAGAATCACTTGAACCTGGGAGGCGGAAGACGCAGTGAGCTGAGATCATGCTACTGCACTCAAGCCTGGGTGACAGAGTGAGACTCTGACTTGAAAAAGAGAGAGAGAGAGAGAGAGAGAGAGAGAGAGAGAGAGGAATACTGAAGTCTTCATTCGTTTTGTTGAATTTTCTATTTCTCCCTTCAATTACCTTCTCATTATTCTTAACAGCAAATCGAGTGATCTTTTACAAAAATAGGGATTACGTCACTCCTCTTCAAAACCCTCTACTGCCTTCATATCTCACTCAGAGTAAAAATCAAAGTAACTGCAATACCTAAATGTCTCACAAAACGTGCTTCATTACCTCTCCTTGCATTCTGCACTACCCTCCTTCTCCTGTTACCCAGCCACTGACCTCCCACCCCCTTGCTTAAATGTATCAGACACTTTGTCCACAGGATCTTTGTGTTTGTTCTCTGTAATACTCATCTCTCAGATACCTGCATGGCTCCCTTCCTCACTTTCTTCAGATATTTATTCAAATGTCCTTCTTGGTGAGGTCTTTTCTGCTCACTCTATGTTAAATGGTAATGTCGGCTCATTTCCCCTTTCTTCATTTTTTTCTCAGTGACACTTTTCTCCATCTGTCATAATGTATGTATTGTAATCATGTAACTAATGTAATATTTATTGTCTTTTCTCACTAGAGTGTAAATTTCAAATGCATAGGGATGTCTGTTTTATTCTCATGTATCTTCGGCACAGTGCCTGTCACATAGGTGACCAATAAATGTATGCTTCATGAACAAATGAATGCCCTGAGAACTGCTTGAGGAAACCAGTCAGCTGGGAAGCAGACTAAGTCAGATTCATTGGTTAATCTCAAATGAACCCTAAACACTAATTCTTTCTGTAAGTCTCTGCAACTGTGAACAATCATTTTCTTAAAATTCCGTCATTCTATTAAAATTACATGTATTAACACTGATATTGTTCAGCCAGCTCATTGCTCCCTTCCACTGTCATCTTTTCCCTGTCTCTTTCCAAATATTTCGTGAGCATTTGCTATCTGCTAAGCACTGGATATAAAGTGGTGAACCTACAGTGACAAAGCCCACACCCTTATGAAATCTGCAATATAATTATCTGAAATTCAGCATACCAAAGTTACTCAGACCACTGTCCCTATAGGTTCTTTATCCAGTTTACTTTCCAGTTTCAAGAATCTTCTCCTAGATAGACCAAAATTAAATAGAAGTCTAGTGAACAATTTACATTAAATCTTGCCAAATTCATGCATATAAGTCAGCTTTCAAATACAGTCAGCCCTTCACATCATGGGTTGCACATCTGTGGATTCAAACAATATTTTATGGAAAATATTTGAAAAAAATTAAAAATTGCAATATAATAAACATAATACAGTATAATAATTATTTACATAACATTGTACTAGGTATTAATGTAGAGATGATTTAAACTGTTAGAAGGATGTGTGTAGGTTATATGCAAATACTATGCCATTTTATATCAGGGACTTGAGCATTCATAAATTTTGGTATCTGATTAGTTCTGGAAGCAATTCCCCCAGATACTGAGAGAGGACTGTACTAGAGAAGGGAAAAGTTAAGCATCACAGGTATTTCTATCTTTATTTTTTGCGAGGGAGTCTCACTCTGTCGCCAGCCTAGAGTGCAGTGGCATGATCTCAGCTCACTGTAACCTCTGCCTCCCAGGTTCAAGGGATTCTCCTGCCTCAGCCTCCCGAGTAGCTGGAATTACAATTGCGTACCACTATACCCAGCTAATTTTTGTATTTTTAGTACAGACAGGGTTTCACCATGCTGGCCAGGATGGTCTCAATCTCCTGACCTCATGATCCACCCACCTCGGCCTCCCAAAGTGTTGGGATTACAGGCATGAGCCACCACGCCTGGCCACATCATGGGTATTTTTAAAATGAGGAAAATAATTAGTAGTAAAATTGCATTTATAGATTTTGAAATCTAAGTACAAATTAGTAGCATTAAACTAATGTCTGACAAATGTTCTTCAGATCACATTTTATGCTCCAGCTACAAATTCCAGTGCAAAAGCTTTTAAAGGCATTTCATAACTGTTGTGCAGAAATATTTTTATGGCATTGTGGTTCATTACAGTGGTTAAAGCTATCGTCAGTTTTCAAAAAATAAGGTCTATTTCAAAAATTCCTGGCATACATGAAACTTTAGCCAGAGTAATTTTTCTAATGGCTAAAAAGGTTTTCGTCAGCAAGTACTGTAGTCAAAATATTTCAACCACAGATTCTTCTTATTACATCAGAGGACAGCAAAGTATCTGAATGATGGCTCGAAGGTACAGAAAGGACACTACAGCAGTCAGCAGAAATATTTTAATCTACTTATCAGACATGTCTAGTTGCTCACCTATTTCATTTGACAACCAGAAAGACTGTTTTGATAAAAATTTTGTGGGCTTCTTTTTAAACAAGCCTAGCCAACTGCTAGTTCACTGACCTTCCCATAAAATTTTACCTGGTTGATTTGTAAGCAGTTTCACTAGAAATCTAAGGACATGACAGAATATCAGTGAAGCAAAATCAGCATAATTACAGGACAAATTAAAGTAAAAATCCTAGACTTCAGTTAGAGGCAATTCAGCAAAGCTGTACTATGACCTGCCCAGAAACAAAGCAAAACAAATAATCCCATGAGTCTGTGTTCCTGGAAAACTTAGCAGAATCAAGATCACCATGGGAACATGTATATTTTGGTCTGGGACTCACCCAAATAATATAATAATCAAAGTTTGCTAAAAAAGGAGATTACTTTAGGAACTTCCAGTGAGAACCCTGGTTTTCCTGTGAGACAGTCAAAGCAGAACCAGCAGAAGAAATAGTGGAATGGGGCAGTGCTCGTAAGCTTTTTGGTCTCGGGAAATTTTTACCTGTCAAAAAATTACTGAGGATCAATAACAACTTTTGCTTGTGTGATTTTATCTAACAATATTTACCATATCAGAAGTTAAAATGAAGAATTTTTATACTCATTAATTTTCATAAAAATAATTTAAATTCTACATATTAACATAAACATCTTATAACAACATTTTCCAGAAAAAAATGTGAGAAGTGTAGCATTGTTTTTAGTGTTTGCAATGTCTTTATTTAATGTCTAGCTTAATCAAGGATAGCTAGATATTCACAACTGCTTTTGTGCTGGATCTACTGCCATATGCTGTTTAGCTGAAGTACAGGAATATGAAGAAAATGCAGCCTCACACAGATGTTATAAAAGGGAGAGGTATTTTAGTAACCTTTCCAGGTAACTGCAGCTATCCTTATTTGATCCTGTTCCAGTGCGCGTGTTAGGTTTTTTAAAAGATTAGTTGCAGTGTGAAATCTGAAACACTAGCAATGAAGTTTTCCTACTCCTCTACATTAAAACTTATTTTTCTATCTTACACTTCAAATGGATGCTTTCTCATTTATTAGTTTGTAACATTATGTACTGGTCATTTGGAAAATATGGTTTACTCCGTTATGCAGATTATCCAAATATTAACATTTTTTTTATACAATGTAAAACAAAACACATTTGTTGATATCATCACTGTTCTCATCAGAAAAATAAGTTTTGGGGAGCTGTAAAGCTCACAGTTATGGATACAAGTTTTCGAAAACACAAATTTTCACTTAAAAGCTCAAATTTTCATTGGTAACAAACATTATCAGTTGTTTTCACTGACGTGGCCATCTGGATTAGCTCATTTTTCAAAAATGTCTGCCAAATATCCAAGTCTGAAGCACCACTGTTTGTCAATCTTTCAAATAAAAACTGTTCAATGGAATAAAGTGGTGGTGAAGTTCAGCTGTCAAGTGAAACAATAGCAAAGTACTTTTCCTCCAGCCAACCATCACACTGATTAGAAGGCAAGTTTCATTGCTGTACCTCTCCTACCTCGGCCTCTTAATGAATTCTATGTGACAAAGCGGGAAGTATGAAACACTTAAGATCATTAAGATGTGGACACTGGGCTCTATGACCCTTGCCTGTAGCCCCAGCTACTAGACAGGCTGAGATGGGAGGATCACACAGGCCCAAGAGTTTGAGGTCAGCCTGATCAGCTAGTGAGACCCTGGCTCTAAAAAAGGGAAAAAAATAGACTCAAGGGTAAAAAATTAAAAGTAAATCATGTCTTAGCATTATTATGAAAACAGTTTGGACTCACAGATCTCTTGCAAGTCTGAGACACTCAGGACTGCACAGACCAGACTTCTGAGTATGGGTGGGCTAGGAGGACAGAAATGGTCAAGGACAGCAGGTAGGTGATACACTTTGTACTTACCAGCTGCCAGGTACTGGACAAAACAGAAAAGATGTCCTACGTTCCTTGTCTCATGTGGTAGTAGAAACCCAAATCCCTCTTAAACAAGTATCTGTACCTCCATTTTAAGGGCAAAGAAACAGGCTTATAGAAAGCTACCAAACAGAGCTGGAAGCTGGTCTGTTAGCTCCAATACTCTTGCTTTTCTCCAACAATGGAAAAAGATATCTTCTCTTTTTTTGACACAGTGTTTCACTCTTGTTGCCCAGGCTTGAGTGCCATGGTGCAATCTCGGCTCACTGCAACCTCGGCCTCCCTAGTTCAATCAAGCAATTCTCCTGCCTCAGCCTCCCGAGTAGCTAGGATTACAGGTGCCCACCACCATATCCAGCTAATTCTTATTTTTCTTTTAGTACAAACAGGGTTTTGCCACATTGGTCAGACAGGTCTCAAACTTCTGACCTCAGGTGATCCCCTCCTCGGCCTCCCACAGTGCTGAGATTACAGGCGTGAGCCATCACGCCCAAGGTATCTTCTAACTAGCTTTGCTACAGGGACCCCTCTCTTCTAGAGTGCCCTCTTACAAGCCATATTCCCCATGCAATCTCCTGGACTGTTTCCATTTCTGTGCAGGCCCTTCCCTCTTTGAGTAGAATTATTTCTACTACTAGTTATCTAAATCAGAGGTGACCAAAATATGGCATATACAGGTGCTTTTCTTCCCAGTGAAATATCTTCATCAAGTATTCATAATTTTTAATTTTCAGTAAGCCTGAAATTAGCCTTATAACCTTCTCAACTCAGGTCTAGGTAGCCATAATCAATCATTCAGGGCTAACAACAGAAGTAAAATGTGTTTGTCTGCTTCACCTAAAGTCATTGGGAAGCAATCCTGTGGGATCAGCGGGTGAACCTCTTCCTTCCTTCTTTACAAATACAAAAAATAACTTTGCTAGAAAAGTATGTGCACAGCTCCAGGTGTGTTACCTAGAAAAACTAATATAATTATTAGAAGTGAACATTGTTGACTTCAACTGACCAGTTGGTCTCTTAGAATTCATTACAAGTCCTGACAGTCGGTGCTTCCCATCTACTTCAAAAGTCTAATATTGACAACGAAGCTGTTTCCACATTCCAAATTGTGTTTTATTCTTGAAATATAGCTTGAGCCTCTCTAAACCACTGCAATGACTTCCCCAACTGCTTCATCACTTCAACACATTTCCCGTCTGAATACTTCTGGTATTTGATTTGGTTCTGCCTCATGCTGTACTGGCCTTAGAGTCTAGAGCAGCTGAAGACATTTTTGAAGCTAGAACAAAAATCAGGATTGAGACAGAAAAATCTGGCTGCAGACAATGAGGACGTGTGCTTGGGGGTTAAGATTCAATGTGAATGTCCAATCACATGGTTACCAGCCTGTTTATCCTGTAGGCTTTTCAAGTAAAGAATCAGATTTTGGAAGGAAGAACAAAATCTTTGCCTTGCTCAATTAAAAAATAGATTTTTAGAGCTTCAGGATATGTGGCAAAAAAACAAAAACAAAATAAAAAATAGATCTTTGTCTTGTTCATTCTGCTGGTTTTCAGGATCTCAAATAAAAAGTTCGATGGGGCCAGGTGCAGTGGGTCATACCTGTCATCCCAGTACTTTGGGAGGCTGAGGCGGGCGGATCACCTGAGGTCAGGAATTTGAGACCAGCCTGGCCAACATGGCAAAACCCTGTCTCTACTAAAAATACAAAAACTGGGTGTGGTAATCGGTGCCTGTAATCCTAGCTACTGGAGAGGCTGAGGCAGGAGAATTGCTTGAACCTGGGAGGTGGAGGTTGCAGTAAGCCAAAATCACGCCACTGCATTCTAGCCTGGGTGACAGAGCAAGACTCTCTCAAAAAGAAAGAAAAAAAATTGATGGAAAAAAGAGTTTATCACAATTATTCTTCATAATGTTTTTCAATTATTCATAGTATTTCTAACCCTCATTACTTTAGCTGTCATTACAGAGTGACATTTTTCTGGAGACAAGAATTCTCATTATATACCTTCTACATTAGAAACTCCTAATCAGTTCCTATTTGAAATTGCTCTCCTGTCAATCTACCAGGACAAAGAACAAATAGTGAGTGGTGGGATACTCAAAAGAGGCAACCAACTGGAGCCTCTCACATAAAGGACAGAACCTTTTTTTTCTCCCAGCTTGGAAAATTTGTCCTCCTGGAATTAATCAGCCAGTCTTCTGAATGCCAAAATAAAACAAAACATCAGCTTTGTTAAAAATCCCTTCACAGAGGAAAACATGAAAATAGAAATATATAGATGTAAATTTAGCTTAAAGTTGTGTTTTGTGTAGCATTTCACCCAAGCCTAGTGCAAAATTATAAATTTCCTTCATTTTAAAAAGCCACATCCCTGTTCATTTGTTGACCTTCTTTTTTTTTTTTTTTTTTTTTTTGTTTTTTGTTTTTTTGAGATGGAGTCTCCCAGGCTGGAGTGTAGTGGGACGATCTTGACTTACTACAACCTCTGCCTCCTGGGTTCAAACAATTCTCCTGCCTCAGGCTCCCAAGTAGCTGGGATTACAGGTGGGTGCCACCATGCCCAGCTAATTGTTTATATTTTTAGGAGAGATAGGGTTTTACCATGTCAGCCACATAGTCTCCATCTCCTGACCTCGTGATCTACCTGCCTTGGCCTCCCAAAGTGCTGGGATTTCAGGCGTGAGCCCCGTGGCTCAGTGTTGGCCTTATTTTCTAAGACTATTGGACAACTTTTACTACTCCAAGATCCTAAAGCTGTTATCCATCCTTATGCCTTTACATAAGCTGTTCCTCTGCTTTAAATGCCATTACTATCATTTTCTGATTAAAGTGCTACTCTCATCAAGGCAAACCTCTGTGAAGCTCCCTTTTTTGTTCAAGTGTTCTTCTCTCTTTCCATCTCCTTCCTCTAACCTAGGTGTGGTGGCTTACTCCACAGAACTCCCATGTCACTCATTTTCAGTGTCTTCTATTAAACCACTTAGAATATTGTAATGAACTCGCTTTTTTCTTCTACCAGACTCTTTGTGGGTTCCTTGAGGGCAAGGATCATGTTTTATTCATGTTCATAGTCTCATCACTCAGTGCAGTACCTGATTTAATCTAGATGCTCATAAATATTGAAGATATTTTTATATTTCCTATTTTCTACATGTAATTTACTTCGTATTTCTTTTAAAGTTTCAATCCTTTTCTTATTCTCTTTAAAGCTCTGAAACTAGAGACAAATTGACTGTTAGTGACTCAGGAAACCACTGTTTTTCAGATCTGTACAACGGAGCTATTGACACAAATATGTATTTTTTTAAAATGCACCTTAGGTTCTGGAGTACATGTACAGATCATGCAGGATTGTTGCACAGGTACCCACACGGCAATGTGGTTTGCTGCCTCCATCCCCGTCACCTGTATCTGGCATTTCTCCCCATGTTATCCCTCCCCAACTTTCCTATCTCCCGCTGTCCCTCCCCTAACTCCCCCCGCAACAGACCCCAGTGTGTGATGCTCCCTTCCCTGTGTCCATGTGTTCTCATTATTCAACACCCGCCTATGCGTGAGAACATGTGGTGTTTGATTTTCTGTTCTTGTGTCAGTTTGCTGAGAATGATGGTTTCCAGATTCTTCCATGTCCCTACAAAGGACACAAACTCATCATTTTTTATGGCTGCATAGTATTCCATGGTGTATATGTGCCACATTTTCCTTGTCCAGTCTATCATCGATGGGCATCTGCGTTGGTTCCAGGTCTTTGTTATTGTAAACAGTGCCACGATGAACATACATGTGCATGCGACACAAATATATTTTAAAAGTCTATAGTAAAAATAAATGGCTTCTCTTGAGAGAAAAATGCTAAATAAAAAAAATTGGGGTACACTTTAGAAAGCCATTTGGCAATATTTTATGAAGTTAGACATACATTCTACTGATATGGTTTGGCCCTGTGTCCGCACCCAAATCTCATCTTGAATTGTACTCCCATAATTCCTACATGTTGTGGGAGGGACCCAGTGGGAGATAATTTGAATCATGGGGCAGTTTCCTCCATACTGTTCTCATGTAGTGAATAAGTCTCATGAGATTTCATGGTTTTATCAGGGGTTTCTGCTTTTTTATCTTTCTCATTCTCTCTCTTGCCAGCTGTGATGTAAGATGTGCCTTTCACCTTCCACCATGATTGTGGAACATACGCAGCTACGTGGAACTGTGAGTCAAATTAAACCTCTTTCTTTTGTAAATTACCCAGTCCCAGGTATGTCTTTATTAGCAGTGTGAAAACAGACTAATACACCTCCCTTATGATCAAGTGATGTAACTCCTAAGCTGGGCTGAGTGGACTAATACATCTACTTTATGATCAAGGGATGTAACTCCTAAGCTGGGCCCAGTGGTGCACATCCACTGTCCCAGCTACTCTGGAGGCTGAGGTAGGGGAATTGTTTGCCAGGAGTTTCAGGCTGTAGTGAGAGCTATGATCACACCATAGAACTCCAGCATGGGAAACATAGTGAGACCCACAAATTGCCATAAAAAGAGAACAGAAAAACAAATTTTGATATATTCATACAGTGGAATACTACTTTAGCAATAAAAAGAACTGAACCACTAGTACATGCAATATGATTGATTCTTAACAACATTCAGCTAAACAAAAAAAGCCACAGGAAAAAAGAGTAAAAGCTGTATGGTACCATTCATATGAAATCCAAGATTAGACAAAACTAACTTATGGTTATAGAAATCAAAATATTGGCCAGGCTCATGCCTGTAACCCCTGCACTTTGGGAGGTCAAGGTGGGAGACCATTAGAGGCCAGGAGTTCAAGATCTGCCTACATAACATAACAAGATCCCATCTCAATCAACCAAAGTATCAATCAGAAATCAAAATATTGTATGTTTTTAGGTGGGAGGGGGGTTGACTGGAAGGGATGTCTACTCTGTGGTTATACTGGAGCAGGGAGAGGGCAATTCTGGTTCCTTTGGTTTTGATGTGGGTAGGGAGTACCTTCCTAAGAATATGCACAGGAGATAGAAGCTAAGGCCCGCAAAGTAAATAAAGGTCTGGTAGGAAGAAGGAAT